AAAAAAAAATCTCAATATCGTGTTCGTATAGAAGAAAAACGAAAGTTGTCAAGTTGAGGCTGCCTTTATACAGTGTCTAACCACACTGTGGCAAATCGATACAAGTGCTATCTCTGATAAAATAGGAGAACGAACAGGGAGAAAAGAATAAGGCAAGCTGTCGTTTGACTAATTTGTAGTTCGAGCGTTGCATTGATTTTCTTTGATGTTTTCTTGGACCTCTTTAAATCAACATATTATGTTCCTCTCTCATAAGGGAAAACTATGTGATTATTTGCAATCTCTCCGCGTGCAATTGATTTTTCCTTTTCTTTTTGTTATCTTGTTTACGTAATAGGGAACAACATAATTAATTACTAACAAATCTGGTGGAAAGTGGATATATTCTAGGAAAAAATTTGAAAGGTTACTTCTTTCAAAATTTAGGGCCATTTGACAAAGTCTTGAAAAGTTAAAAGTTGATTCTGAAACTAAAAAAATGATTTTTAACGTGTTTGAATAATTTTTAAAAGTGTTTTATCTAAGTAAAAGAGTTTTTAAAAGCTCTTCTATAAGAAGTAGAAACAGAAGCCCTACCAAACATGCCCTTAACAAATCTACAATTTTATTTTTTTTCTTTCCTCAATGTCCATTATAGATTTAGAGGCTAAATATGAGTAGTTAAATGCGCATGCAACTCCCTCAGGTAAAAAGTGTCAACGGTGTTATATGATTCATGTCTTCCCTTGTAATAGGATTGACATAAATCAAAGTCTCGTAAGAGTAAAAAATAATTGATGGTTAATTAGGAAATAACGTCGGTACTTTTTAAAAATAATGAGCCGTATCCTTGACGATCCTCACCTGCCCTACCGTGGGCCTGGTGAAGGAGGTAAATCTCAGGTTATGCCTCCAAGGGCATAGGGTGGAAGACTGCTTGTACACTTGCACTTACCAAATGGTCAAATTCATATTTCAGGATTCGAACTCTTGACACGGCAGCCTCAAGAAAAGTTGGAGTTTTTCCACCTTCCCCTTTTACTACTTGGAGATGTGCCCTGGGGGGCAATATCGGTACTTTTTGCATTTCATTTTTTGGCATTTTCATCATTATTTCAACATTTTATTACTCAAAAAGTTCCTTTCATCCATTTTCTCAATTAAAAGCTATGAAATGACGAATATATCATTTTATTTAAATAAAATAAAAAGAAAAATGAAGAACTAATTGTAACTATAGTCCCAAAATTTTTAAAAAAGTACAAATGAATCCCAAATAAATTAGTAAAAGGGTAATTAGCACATAATGTTCATACATTTCACTATTATTGTGAAAAAAGTCAATATCTTTCACTTTCTTTAGCATTTTCACCGCTTAATTACACGTTTAATTGTGCAAATCATCATTTATATACATTTTCATCCGATTTTTTAATAAAAGATGTGGAATGATGAATATTTACTCTTATTTAAATAAAAAAAATTAAAGAAAATTAAATTCTTTTTAATTTTTAATAATTTATTTGGAATTTATTTGTACTTTTTAAAAAAAATTGGGATTGTGGTTTCAATTAATTCTTTATTTTTATTTTTATTTTTTATATTTAAATATGATGGTATATTCATCATTTCACAACTTTTTATTGAGAAATTGAACGAAAACATATAGAAATGATGGTTTGTTCAATCAAATGTGTAATTAAAGTTGAAAATGCCAAAAATAAAATAAAAGATATAACAATAATTGTAAAAGGTGTGGGACATTATATACTAATTACCTTTTAACTAGTTTATTTGAGATTCATTTGCACTTTTTTAAAAATTTTGGAATTATGATTGTAATTAGTTATTTCTTTTTCTTTTTATTTTACTTAAATAGAAGGGTATATTCGTCAGTTCATAACTTTTAATTAAGAAAATGGATGAAAATAATCTTTTACGCAATGAAATGTGAAAATAAGTATGAAAATGTCAAAAAATAAAAGTTAATGACGTTTTTCACAATAATGAAAGAAAAAGGATCTCTTTTTATGTGCCCATAAATGGGAGTCTTCCACCTAGTTATTTTCTCCACCTCAAATTGAGAAATTAGTGATGGGGCATACTCCGGTTAGATTTGGTTCGAAGAGAATCGAACAAAATCGAGAACTAATGGGGAATCTTACAAACGAAATCACTTTATTATGGAACTGAACCAAATCAGACCGTTCAGTTCATGTTCGATTCCATAATAAAAAATCCATTTGTTTAATCCTACAAAAAGTTGAAAGCAGCAACAGCACGGAGAATAGGATTCATAAAGTCGAGCAGCAAAAATTTGATACGGACATCGAATCAACTACAATAGTAGTTTTCCTTGCCATATATTTATATATATCATTCATCGTCTCCTGATCATACATCATTGGTAGTCATTCATGCTACTCAGTTCCTTAAATCTAGAATCAAATTGCCGGGACTTAAAACTGCATTTGGGTGAGCAAACCCGAATGAGTGTGTGCCTGGTGAAACACGCTTAGATGGTAGATTGCCTGCGGAATCAGTTCTTTCAGTTCGGGATGTTGAGCGATAAATGCACGGTCTATCCCCTCAAAAGCCGGCAAAATTCCAGCTCGTTCCAAATCCTCGCTCTTTCCAGCATTTATTGCTAGGTAACAGATAAGAATCAATCCATGCAACGTTGCCCGTTCATTGTCCCTTAGTAGTCTCATTACAGGCGGAACACCTTTGAACTCGATAATTGTCTTGGAATGCTCTATGCATAAAAAATTATCTGGACAAGCAAACTTCCCTAGTGAAATAGCAGCTTCTGTAGCCACGTCCTGATTACTGTGACTAAGTTGCTTGACTAAGGGACCAATGACCCTCGTCTCCCGGGCTGGGAATGTTCTAGACAAAGAACCTATTGCCCTTATGGCTGAAATTTTCAACCTTGGGGTATCAGACTCTTTAATAACCCTTAGTAGCTGATCCACAACTGACTTAGCAGCTGGAGAATTTGTCTTGAAAGCCGCCTGTCTAAGGTCAGCATTAGATTCTGCAGCAGCCGTTATTTCCATTATTGTCATCAAGCAATTATACTGCAATTCCCCCTGTTCGGTTTCAACAAGCTTAGCCAAACAAAGTAACCCTTTTGTCTCTGTAATCCTCCTACTATTCGGTACACTCCCTCTAGCCAGCATCCACAATGCCTCAGCACAATTAATCTTCAACTTTTGCTTCACCTCTGGCTTCTCGTTTTCCCTTTCCTTCCTGTGATTCCCTCCCTTGGTACTCCCCTCGGAATAATGCATTGACAAAGACGAACCAAATCCCGGCCTAATCAAACTCTTCTCCATCTCCTTGTTAATTTGCACAATGGAATGAATACTCTGTTTCCCTACTCTAATCTTCAGATCCTCCATGAATATATCAAATGATAACAACGTAACAAGCGGCCTAATCACATTCTCCCTTGCAAAATCCTCTTGTGCCATTGGACAATGCTCTGCCATTGTAGCCACCAAATTCGCAACACTTATTTGAACCCTCATTGGCGAATCCCCTAAAACCTGAACAATAATTGGAACCCCCAATTCATCAATTATCGATGACACTCTTTCATTATCGTTCGCTAAATTATAAAGGGCAGCGGCTGCTGCAATTTGAGCATCTGGGGAAGAATTATCCCTTAAGAGCTTCAATAAAGGAGAAATTCCACTTTCTTCAACTATAATTTGCTTATTTCTATCATTATCTTTAGCTAATGAAGCTAATTCATTTGCAGCCTCAATTTTATCTTGCAATTGACCCATGTGTAATGAAGCAATAAAAGACCAAACCCAAGAAATAATGGGGTCATTACTCGCAATGGGGGGTAAACTAAGAACAATACCTCCGCCGGCGCCAGATTCGAAGATGCTGAGAACCCATTTCATATCAGCCACTGAGGAATCGAGGTGGCCGAGCAGCTTGCGAAAATCGGCGGCGGAGACTATGGTAACCACACGGCGGAGCACGCTCCGCCGCTTGCACTTCTTGAGAAGGGCCAGTGACTTTTCAATATGTTTCGATACCTCGGCGGCGATTCTACGAAGGGGGCGGTCGTAGAAGGAAACACCAGCGGTCGTGGAGGTGGAAAGACGCACGGCGGCGCGTAGCATCTGGCAAAGATTACCTACTTTCTTGCCCACCTCCAAGCACTCTAACTTGAACGATTCCGCCTCTTTTACAGCTTCATCAACCCTATCCGACAACAAAATTGGGTATGATAAAACCTCTTCGATTCGCTTTTCTTGTTCGATTGCTGTCGGATTTTGGGTCTGCTTATTCTGAGGGAGTATTCCTGGTGGTGGTTTTGTCGCCATATATCACTCGAATTCAACTTATGAAATTTGAATGACTTGCACAAAATTCAGAAAAATGGTGGAGGATTCCAACAAGTCAGTGGTGGAGTCAAAAAGGTGAACTTTCCTGTATGTTTGTGTGTGTTTCCTGAGAAAATGGTTGGGGGGTCGGGGTGGGAAAAGGAAAGGGGGAAATGCTACAGTGACATGAAAAAATACACATCCACATCCACTTGGCATTTTTTCGTATGCGGCTATACCATGTTTTTTTGTTTATCGCATTTTTTTACTGTACAGTTGTACTATGAGGAATTTGGTCTGTACTATTTTCTTTTTTCTAGGTATATGTCATTTGAATTACAATTAAGCTATCGGAAATTTTTTTGACAGACACACTTGACATGACAGTAATAGAAGTTGGAAAAGAAAAAAAAAAAGCCATTCAGGTTTGGCCACATTAGCCTTTGTATCAATTTTGTCAAAATTTTGAGCTTTATTAAAAAAAAAGATGAACCGCATCCTTGGTGGCCCTCACCTGCCATGTCTTGGGCCTTGGTGGAAGAGGTAAATCGCAGGTTATACCTCCAGGGGTATAAGGTGGAATGCTGTTTGTACACTTTCACTTACCTAAAGGCCAAATCCATATTTCAGGATTCGAACCCTTGACGCGACAGTCTCAAACAAAGTTGAAGTTTTTTCATCTTCCCCTTTTACCACTTGGAGATATGCCCTGAGGGCAA